GAGAGAGCGCACACAAGCATTTTTCTGGTTCTATTAAAATAAACAACCAAGTAAGTCATAGTAGAGTATAGATTATATCATACCCCATTGAAGTTTATAGCTTTTAGAATTTTTGGGTTTTCTAGTCATTGCTAATTGAGAGGTGCTCCTAAATGTTTCATATCCTCAAATTATTTAGTCTTATCCTTGGAGGATTAAGCTGGGTATGGCACAAGGTTCTCAATATTCATTGCCATCTAGTTGGAACCGACTCATAACTGACCCTCCTTTGAGTTTCTGAGACTGTAAACCACACAAGAGGAGACTGCCTATCTTTCTCACATAGAAATTCTGCTGGATTATTTGAACCTCCAAAGTGGTGCACCCTTGAGGTTAGCAGCACAACTCCCTACTACTATGCCACCAGGGCCCCTTTAGGGCTGTCTGGGTTAGTAAGCAAAATAGTCAAAGAAACTGCAGCACTTAACAGTTTTAAATTTCATGTTGTTTTTCTCATAGGTTTTCCGTGGAAACGTTGATAACAATACCCCTTATGCTAACTCTTTCACACCGCCCATAAAAGCTCAGTATGTAAGACTCTATCCTCAAGTTTGTCGGAGGCATTGCACTCTAAGAATGGAACTTCTTGGCTGTGAGTTGTCAGGTGAGTCTCAAAACTTATCTATCCTGTTTAAAAGGGGTGAGGGAAGGATTCCTTTTGTTTGTAGTCTGCGAACGAAATGCAAATTTCTATTAGCTGTAGGTAGTTATTAATTTCTGCTGGAAAGCATTTAAGCCATGGTTCAGTGAGAAACACTGTGTGTTACACACAGGATAAAGTCTCAAAAACATGCTACAGAAAAGAATTCAAAAGAAGGAGCAGTGAAACTTGAGGGGGGGGGGTTTAAATGGTCACTAAAAGTTCAACAAATTCTCACTGGCAATTCTTGTAAAGTTTAAATGTGTCTTATTGTTGTTGGTAGTGGCTCAGATTTATATTTTGTGACAAAGACTCAGTAAAAACTAGACTCTGCAAGGGCCCATAAAACGCAATTAAGTTGAAGCAACACAGCATAGGAAAAGTAACCTTTAGTTTTTGTCCTTCTACCATAATAACTTAGCTTTTGGGGGATAACGTTTTGTGAAACATGTATACTTATCATTTTTCCCAAGGAAACAATATTTCAGTACAAAGATTGTTTCTATAAATTCATTCTTAGATCTCCCTTAGCTAGAGTCAGGCTCATTGTACAAACATTGCCTATCTATCTCAAAGATAATATATCAGAGGACTCAAAGTTAAATAATCCATGTGCTCTGGGGGCATCAGTACTCCGTATAAGGATGAGACTTAATTTGTTGTTCTCACAGTGGTCCCCTTTCAATATAGTGAGATTGCGAAACAAATAGAAAATCTTGTCTAGTTATTTTACTGGTTCCTGGATGATCTTACTTTTCTGACCTCAAAATTTATAAATTGTCTTTGCTCCACTAGCTTAGAATTATTTTGTTCAAATATCCATGAATAGGAAAAAATGTGGGCTCCTATTTAGCATATCCTTGAGGTATGAAAAAACTATTTGCCAAGCTCACCAAAACTTTGCACCTTTTTATATTTTAAAATTATTATTTCAAGAGATGGCTTATAGATTATGTTGCATACTGCCTGTTTTCCTTCTTAGTTTTATTTCCTATGGTGAGATTTATTTTTCCACATATACAAGTTACTTTTTAAAAACAATCATTTTTCTGAAAATGATCTCATTACATTTAAAGGAACTATACTGTTTTCCCAGATGAATGAAGCTACTTAAGGAGTCACATTTTCATATTATTTATGGTGTCTTTTATGAAGCAACCAATATACAGTTTTAGTACTATTAATTATCCTAACTGAGATGTTTCCCTATTTTGGTAATTCACACTGACTTATTGATCAATAGTTAATCTCAGTAGAATTATTGCTGTACAGAGCTTGTATTGCATGTCACTATATCACTGGAGCCAGTGTCATCCCTAAGCCATTAATCATAAAGCAATCAAGAGGATATCATGAGATTGACTGTAAGTTCTATGTTCCTTAGTTGCTTAACATTATTTTCCCCAATTTGGGGGGCTTTTGATTAATGAGGGCCAGTCACTTATACATGGCACAATTACACCCCTAAAATGTTTGTCAGGTTTGTAAAGAGGTTATACTTGGTAACTTCACAGGTTTTATTTTCTAAAACAAAGCAGCAGTGCCCTGTATTCCAACCCGTCAAATTGATTTTGAATGTAAATAGAGTGTAATATATCATGCATGACATTATCAAAGTTACAACTTTTCACTAGAAAAATGATCAAGTTGACTGTTAAGATTTCATTTTATTTAAATGTTATCCACACAAGTAAAAATTGTTTTGCTTATGCATATGAATATGGATTGAAGCTAAACATCAAGAAGACAACGATTCTCACCACTGGGCCACCTGGCAGCTTTGTGATAGATGGAGAAGAGATTGAGATTGTTAATAATTTAGTTTACTCAATTCCACAATCAACACTCTTGGCACCAGCAGTCAAGAAATCAAAAGACGAATTGTACTGGGGAAGTCTACTGTCATGGACTTCTCCAGAGAACTGGGAAGTATCAATGTCAGTACAGACACTAAGGTATACTGATCCAGGCCATGGTCTTCACAATTACATGCTATGCATCAGAGACCTGGAAAATGACTAAGGATGACAGAAGAAGAATTGATACCTTTGAATTTTTTTTAAAGTATATTTTATTAACTTTAATGAATACTTACAGAGATTTTGGATTTTCATTCATTCATTGTTGCACTTTTTTCTTTAAATTTTGATGATGGAGAAGAGTATTGAGCATACCATAGACTACCGGGAGAACAAATAAGTCTGTCCTGAAGAGGATAAAACCAAGTTTCTCCTTGAAGGCAAGGATTTTGGAGCTTCGTCTCACATACTATGGGTTTGTGACCAGGAGGGACCAGTCCTTGAAGAAGGACATCATGTTTGGAAGGGTAGAGAGACAATGCAGGAGAGGAAGATCTCGAATGAGATAAATTGACAGGATAGCTGGGGTGATGGTATTGTGTTAGAGTCAGTGAGACTGGCTTATGACAGGGCAAGCTTCAGAGCTGTTGTACATGGGGTCACTATGAGTCACACATAACACTACAGCATGTTACAACAACAACAACAACAACAACATATGTTTGAAATCAAGTTGATGAGAAGGGAAATTGGTGTGTTAGGCATATTGGCGTAAATGTTTGTTCCAACACTTGGAAATAAATAATACTATATCTTATCAAATTATTTCCCATGATCCAGTGCAGTACTTATAAACCCCGAGATGTTATAGTGTTGTAGATAATAAACTATTATAGTATGCCTGAAATATCAATAGTTAATTCTTGCCCAAAAATTGAAAAAGTAAATTCTTCCAAGACATTTGATTTAAGTTGTTAACTGTTCTAAAGCGAAACATCCAAGTAAAGATAGACTAAGGAAGAAGGATGTAAGGATTGGCCATTCTCTGCCAAAATATAACAGGCCTTTGAAAATCCTAGGTACAACAGAGCATACATAGAATAAAGTAACAGATATTGCAGCTGAGGCTGAGCCCTCAAATTTGGAAACACAAAGTAGGAGGAACAGTTGTAAGCAGAAACTAATGATTGTAACATAGAATGTGTGAAGCATAAATGTAGAAAAACTGGATATCATTACAAGAGAAATGGAACATATATTGACATATTCGGTATTGGTGAAATGAGATGATTTGGCAAGGACGTTTTTAATCAGATGATCATATGATCTGTTATGCTAGTGATGAAAAAATGAGAAAAAGCCAGGTTGTTTTTTATAATTAAAAGGTCATTGCTACGTCCATCTTGAAATAGTATATTGCAAATGACAGGATAATATCCATACACATACCAGGAAGACCTATTAGTACAACCATCATTCAAGTTTATGCACAACAAACCATGTCAAAGAGTAGGAAATAGATGCTTTCTACCAACTTTTGCAGTCAGAAATTGATCGAACATGCAACAAAGATGCGTTAATAGTAACAGAAGTCTGGAATGCAAAAGGTAGGAAACAGGAAGAATGATCAATAGTCAGAAAATATGGACTTGGTGACAGAAATGAGGATGGAGATAAAAAGATAGAATTCTGCAAAATCAACTATTTATTCATAACAAATACCATCCATAAGAAACAAATGAATTTATACATGGATTTCACCTATATCTATAGGAATCAGATTGATTACATCTGTGGAGGGATTGCACAACAGAGCATTAACTACTCATAGTAAGTTAAAATTAAAGCTAAAGATGGTCAAATCAAATCCACACAAAATAAAATTTGATCTTGAGTCTATCCCACCTGAATTTAAAAACCAATGCAGGAACAGGTTTGAAGCCTTAAACACTAATGAATGAAGCCCAGATGAGCTGTGGGAGGATATCAAGAATATCATCCATAAAGAATACAGAAGGTAATTACAAAGACAGAAGAAGAAAAGGCCAGAAGAAACTGAATATTTCATTTGGCTGAGAAGCTAAAGCAGAGGGAAGAAATCAAGATGTTAAGGAGCTGAACAGAAGATTTCAAAAGGCAGCTCAGGAAGACCCAGCAAAGTATTATAACAAAATGTTCAAAGAGCTGGTGTCAAAAGGACTGAATTTGCTTGATATTTCTTAAACTCTAAGAAACTACAAAACAAATTTAAGCTATGAGTTGTAATACTATGCATGCTATAGGCAGAATATTGAATTTTGAATGATCCAGGAAGCATCAAAGAAGAAGGAAGGAGTATACAGTCACTGTTCCAAAAACAATTGGCTGACACAGAAATTTCAAGAAACAACGTATCATCAAGAGGCAATGAAGGAAAGATAATAAAGAGGCAAGTTCAAGCCACTCTAAAGGACATGGCAAAACACAAAGCCCCAGGAATTGATTAAATACCAGTTTACACATTTCAAAAAACAGATGCTGCCCTGTACATATTTACCAAGTTGTGCCAAGAAATCTGGAGGACAATTACCTGGTCAACTGACTGGAAGAGTTCCATATTTATTCCGATTCCAAAAACTGGTAGAGTGTAGAAATTATCAAATATATCACTAATGTCACATGCAAGCAAGATCCTGCTGAAAATTATCCAAAATGACTGGAACAGTACATTAACAGAGAACTACCAGAAGTACAAGGTAGGTTTAGAAGAGGTTGTGTTACTAGAGACATTACCATCAATGTCAGATAGATCTTGCAGAAAGCCAAGAGTACCAGCATAATGTCTGTCTGTGTTTCATTGACTACGCAAGGACTTTTGGCTGTGCGGATCACAGCAGATTGTGATTTGCCGTGAAAAGAATGGGAATCCCAGAGCACTGATTATGCTTATGTGAAACCTATACTTAGACCAGGAAGCAGTCCTCAGAATAGAGCAAGGAAACACTGCATGGTTCAAAATCAGCAAATGAGTGGGTCAGGGATGCATCTTATCTCCATATGTTTTCAATTTATATGCAGTGCAAATCGTTCTGGTGTTAGGATTCATAAAGATGGAATGTGACATCAGGATTTGTAGAAGACTTATCAACAACCTTCATTATACAGATGATATAACCTTGGTCTCTG